GTCAACAAGACCAAGTTGCGACAACAAGGTCAACTCATTTCTATAAATCGAAAGGAGACTGCGACCATACCAAAGGCCACAACATCTTAGTCTTCATACCTTCAATAAAAATTATAATTATCATGTGTTTGGCACTTATCTAATATTTGGTCACTTCAGCTTGGTAGTCCTTTCCTTCTCCGTTTTATATATTGGTTAATAGGGAATTAGCATTTTGAGCCTTCTTTTTCTTAGGCATTGTTTATTATAGCTTTTCTACTTTTTACATATATCGCTCAAAACTATAATTGACTTTGAGTTTCCTTTCATTCTTATCAAGTGCCAATGATAAAACTTTTTGTAAAATCCTTTAATGTTCAATATTGAGATATTCCACATCAATTTTTGCAAATAAACATGTTCTTTCCTATCGGCGTAAATTGAGCAAGCTTCGACTTGTATTGAAAGTCATATTTCCTTTGCGTTTCAATGTCTCTGTGTGATTTACAGAATTACATATACTGATTGAATATTATCGGAACTATCAGTAGAACCTGAATAAAAAATACCTTAGGTTGCTTAGGACAGCCTTAATAAAATAGTTTTTTATGTACGATTGCGAAATGATTATCATTTTATTTATTACCTAACTATTCATTTGACTACCATTATTTTAAACTCCATGCGATTAATATTTTTTTTCTTAATTCACTGATTGCTAATACAACTTAGGACTATTTTGCCGAAAATGGCTTTTCTATTATTTCCACAGAGAAAGAATCGAATGAATTTTTCGATGATCCTGCATCCTAGCTTAACACTGGCAAACATAGAAGCAATGAGTGATGTGAATTTACACCTTTTTAATCTTTCTTTTCATTTATTTCACGTTACAGCCTTCCAGAGAGACTTCTAAATATTTGGGCAACTAATATCCCATACAGATTTTTATTGCCATTTCAGAGCAAGCCCTACAAAAAAATAGAACAGGTCTTATCCTGTTTTGCTTCAAGTTTCCAGATCTCCATGAACTTTGAGGTCTTCGGTACCGTTAGTGAGGGCAGTAATAATATAATAAGATGATGCCTACTCATCAACATATTTTATTTGGTATTTATGTGCTCGATAGTTTTTTCCTAATCTATCTTTATATTTCCGTTTCGGGTCCTAAATATTGCAAATCTTTGGATAGGCCTTATTCTCTTAAGGGTGATAGTAAGTCTTATTCTAGCTTTCTCAGCCTTAAGGGCGCTTATAATCTCAAACCCACTATCACTTTCACTCTCCTTTATATAATTTTAGTAACTATACCTTTTTGTCCTTTATTATCTAGTCATCGCTCAACTCTGACAAACTAGACAAAGACCCAAGTCATCTGCACAACTGCACTTTTTGCTTCGATGCCGGCCTCAATCAAGCCTTGTTCAATTCTTTGGCAGGGCTAATGCGCAGACGTGCTACTACTTTTAATCGACAGCTTCAGCAAAGGCGACAGCGATACCTGAGTAGCGATGACGATGAGTTTTCGAGGGACCGGGCAGCTGGTTCTACCATCGCTGGCGCGGCTGAAGACGATGATTTTTCCGATGATGAGTTGGTCACGGGTGATAATAGTCTTGTGGATAAAGAAGCTACGGATGGCGCTACTGCTACAGTGACGAAACCTGCAAGCAAAGGAGTGCCCTTAGGGACTTCTTTAGGACAACACTTGGAACCCCAGGGTGCCGATGAAGAAGATCTGACCACTGAAAGACAGCGAAGTCTGACGGCCCTACTTTATCTGCGTGCAATGTCATTCTCATTTGCCTTGACAGACTCCTTCATGTCGCAGGCAATCGAGCATCTCGAGGAAGAAGGTGAAAAGCAAAGTAAAGAAGAGAGCGAGGATTAGGGAAGAAGGGCAATCTCATTGTTGACTATAGCCAACGCCTTATTCCCAGATAAACTTCATGGAATCCATGTGGGCTAGAGTAGGCCATTTATTCTTAGTATCCTCTAGCAATGCCCTGGTTGCCTTTAATAATCATGCCATGATTTATCTTATTCCTTTTTCATATTAGACTAACCACATTCTCAGGGCACCTAGGCGTTCACTCAGATAATTATTACTTCTGTCCTATAGTCTCGGTTCTAAAGTTATTCAGTTTATTGGTAGCTTATCCGTTTTAATGTGCAAATTCTACTCGACCTTATATCTTCGGACACTATTATTTTTATATTTAATTTGGCTTATACTATGGAATATGAGAGGTATTTACCCTATTTCGTTTAAGGTGATGAAGGACTGGTAGTCGAATTTTCCCACAATGATATGAGTAGAGCTAACGTTTCCATTGAATTTCACATTGCCTTGCTTTCCCAAAAGTTGTTCT